AAGTCTCTCAATATTTAAGACCAAATCCCTAATGGTGTCTCTGTGCACATGCCATTCAGCGCTGTTCTTGACTTCCTCAACCCTTGTTGACAGGCCTCCTCAAGGAGACCAAAATTTTTGATTTCTCCATACCCAATCTTCATTGTTCAACATCATACACTGACTGGCTTGAGCATGGCATTTCAACAAATTTACACTTTTGACCTTCCCCAAAACTTCTACACCTATACACATGATCCATCATCCAATCACCTGCAACTGACATAACTCATTTTCTTTCAAGAGATCTGACTTGCACAACCAGACATGTGATTTAACCTCACTCCCACAGCCATTACATACAAAAGGGAAGTTCAGGGAGCCTTTGGTTCAACATGCCAAATTCAAAGAACCCCAAATTTCTAAATAACCGTCAGAAAGCTATCCCAATGGTACTTATGAGGAGGGCATATCCCTTTTAGGTATCCCCCAGTTCCCCCTGGAATGATTTTACCAGTATGTGCACAATGCAATGACATATTGCAAATGATCCTTCCTTGAAGGATTGCAATACTGTCTGGATTCTGGTAAGATACATGGAGACTGCAGATTTGATTCTATCATACTCCTGACATGAAATTCCTGACTAGACATTTGACAAAATCAACTGCCCATGGGTGATTGTGTGATGGGCTTTCCTCTAAACTGTAAGGGAGCAATATTTTGTTGAAATGTGAGCATTTATGACAGTTATCAGCCATGTGGAAGTTTCCCAGAGAGATGCAGGATACAATGCCCATCTACCAGCTTTCATTTGGTGTCCAGACTGCAGTGGCCTGACCTCGAACCACTAAAGAACCACTCCCCAGCAGAGGTTAAAGCCTTGATGGACAAACTTAAACTCAAGCCAAACTCTACCGGCGCTCCTGGAGCTGGAAGTGGCACCCCTGATCAGAATCCCAAATCCAGAACTGAGGCAGGTGGCGGTAGTGGTACTCCTCCCGCCGGTCCAGGGAAAACTTCTAAACCTAATAATGGAATGACACGACGAGCAGAACCCGCCAGTAAATCGGCAGAAGAAAATAAGGCCAGCTTTATGGAGAAGCTCAAAGCGGAGTCAAGTGCTAGCGGTCGTCCCGCCGGCACTCCGACGGCAGAGCTCACCAAACAAGCAGATGCCCCGGGTGGAGGATCAGACAACAAGAAAGCCGCCTTCCTCGAGAAACTCAAAGCAAAGAAAGCCAGCGGCGGCGGTCTTTCTAAAGGTGGAGATGGTGGTGCAGGTGCGATGGGAGCCAAGTCTCCGATGTCCAAAAGAGCGGATTCCCCTAGTGGAGCTCCAGAGGAGAAGAAAGGCGGCGGCTTACTCGATAAACTCAAATCCAAGCTGAGCGCTGCCGACCATTCCTTCATATATAACTTATAAGGCGCGATCAGTCCCGTTCCCTTATAAACCGATCAATGTTTTCTCCTCGGGTTTTTTTCGAGCATGGATTGATGTTATGTATTGATTACAAAAGGAGCTTTCCTTCATAACACTAATGTCTTCTCTTTTTTTTGGCCCTCTGACATATTCCACCTATTTTTACAACTGTATTTTGTTTAATTAGTAGCAATTGTGAGGATATTTCGATGACCGCTTCGATGATCTTATGCGGGAATCGGCCGATTTGAGAATCGCAACCAAGGCGAGAATTCGTGTTAAATTAGAATCGAAATCTGTCGGAACATCTTCTTATGCTCTGTTGGGCAGTCCAATGGGAATCAGAATATTATTGTTACTAGGGGTTTAATGTCAAGGCAAGAGTCTGGTTTTGAAGGCAGAAGGTGACGTAGAATAAAGGACGGGTGGAATGAAGGCTCTGCTAGCCAGCCAGGCCGGCCAATGATTAGCTTGTGAAGCTGGGGATGAGAGGGCCGCATGTGGCGCATGTCACTTGACCAATCTCCACTTCGGTTCAACCATTCGCCGGGGTTGCTATGTACTCATCCTCAGCTCTTCTGCCTTTTGTTTTCTCATTATCTTCATTTTCAAGCCAACATCGTGTCACCCAATTGATAGAGCCGGTCGATTGATTAGCTTATCCAGGGTACTCCATCAAGTACTTACACAACACACATACGCACATGGCCAATACATACATATATGTATACACTATATCTCTCACTCATAGAGAGCAAGAGATCTTCATAGACAAATTAGTGCGACGAAGTCGGGGTCACCAAATCCAAAAAAAGAAAGAAGAAAAAAGAGTTGTGAAACGGACCACTCAATCAAAAGAAGACAAAAAAAACAGGTCAAGAGAATTGCATAAGAAGTTTTTCTAGAAGGAGAAGTTGATTAGGAAGAGAAGCCGATTATGTATCTATCTAATGTTGATGGGTTTGTTTCTGAGGATGGTTAGGGGGATCATTTGAGTACTGGGTGGCAAAGAATCAGAAGTCTTCAGATGTCCGGCCAAAATGTCAGCCAATGCTCTGACCAAAATAGGGTCTGCATTGAGCGATTCGCCTCTTTTCACGCCGGTCAGCCCTGCCTATGATAGGAAAGCAGTCAATGTCAGTTAAGCCAAAAGAAACAGAAGTTAAACCAAAATCAAGTGATCCGTACCTGTGAGTGATCGGTATTAGGGCCGATCGTCGGATTGGGCCTAGTCTCGAATAGAGCGTTGGACGGTAGCGGAGTGTTCAAGATATCAGGAACGTTGAAGGTAGCCCCAGGAGCTGCCGGGGCGAGCTCTGACTGACAGTTGGACTTGGTTCGCTGGTGGAGATGTGAGAAGAATGGGCTAGAGGAGGCATGAACGAGTTGGGTACTGGGATGTGGTCGTGTGAGGGTGGGAAGACAGGAGACGTGATCCAAGGGGAACCTCTGGGTGGTGGGTGAAGGCTGAGATTGATTGGTGAGGGCTGGATCTTTAGTACGAGAAGATTGAGAGCCAGACTCGCTATCTAGGGTCTTTCTCCAAATCTGTTCCAGTAGATCAGGTCGTCCTCGATGGAATTTAGGACGAACGAATTCCCAAGCAGCCGAGTTATCGTTTCCTCGTTGACCTCGGGGGGTTTTGTTGACCTTGTGAAAGCCGTACATGTTAAGTTGACGAACGAAGCTTGAGAAATTACTGAGATGATAGCCAACGGTTAGCGAGATGATGAATGATGGATCAAGTAGCATCTGGGATGTCCAGAACGAGGTGGTTGATCGAGTGTATGGGTCTCTTAAACCAATCCAAGGTCCAAGGAGTGGGTCCGGATGAGAGCGGACCCAAATGAAGACATATAATGATAGATGTGCATTCTAGAATCGGCTTGAGAAGACTAGGTGAAGGCGGAAGAGGGTTGACGAGTAGAGTGAACTGTAACAGTTCAGTCGATTGCAAAGGATCAAAAAGAAGAGCACATACCGATCTTTTGGGATTACCTACCGATCTCCTCACAGGGAAGCCAAACGGTTGGTTGTCGATCCTCTTCCCCATCGGTTGTTGGTGGGTGAGTATTTGATTAGTGATGCTTTCATTTAAGTCAAACACGGACAATTGGTCAGTCTGACTGTCCTAACCAAATATAAACAAAGGTCGCACTACTTGGATTACACTCACAGGGCAGCCAACCCGTTGGCTTTTGTACCTCTGGCCAATCCGTCGGTAATTGGTGGATAAGTCTAGGATATGTTGAATCGAAGTGGAGCCCGAAGATTTGTCAGTCTGACCGCCCGCCCAAATTTCAAGAAAATAAAAGAGAAACCATACCTCAACCACAGAAGATGATGATGAGATAGCTCCGCTAAGATGGATCGCGATCTCGCCTGGTCTACATGGGGGATATTTCCTACAGAAAGGTTGGTTGGGCATCAAAAGGAGCCACGCCTGCGCTGCACGTGGATTGTTCAAGGGCCAGCCCCAAGCCCCCGATTTGAGTTGGTTTGAAATCGCCTGACCCGGCCACTGCGAAGGCGCCCTCCCCTCATCCAAATCCGACCAACCTCTGCTTGTCCCACCGACCTCTTGCAGTCAAGCCTCGGCTCATCGACCGGCCCATCCATCTGCGCATCCGGCAACAAAAGCAGGCAAGCCACCAACTACCTCCTCACCTCACCCTTTAACAGAACCGACCCCGGCCCAACTTATCACCAGGCAGGGTCCCGCTCTTCATTTCTTCCATTATAAAGTGTCGGTCCCATTTCATCTCAGTCAACTGGCCTTCCAAAAAATCCATTCATCATCACTTCCTCCTGCTGCTGACCAACCATCTCTTAACCTATTCAAACAGCTCACTGCAAAGCCACTGGCTGTCTCAAACCTCCCAATCAATCACACCACTTCATATTTTCCTCAACTTCTAAGGTGGGTGTCCGACCAGGTCACAGTCCACATGCATGCCATTTGGGGCCATATGGAACATTATCACAAGGCTGACTACCTCCCCCCATCTGAATAGTGTCAACACCCCCTAGCTCCGTGACGGTGCCCTTCACTTTATAACCAAACTTGTCGATAAAGGTGAGTATCCAACTGCATATCTGTTTCAATTGGCCTGGGATATGGTGTAACTGACCACCTCCCCCTTAAGTCTTCACAGGTCATCCCACCTCTGGATATCATTTCAACCCTTGGACTGACTATTGCCGCCTATAACAGTGGTTTATGACCTCATCCACGTAAGTGCCCCTTGTAACTTTCATGAGCAAGAATCCCTCTTGGATCTTGTGGAGGTGTCAAAGCTGGAAAACACGCTGTGCAGCAGAGGGCCTGGCGTACTAGTCGACCTCCTGTTGCATTGTGGGACCAATGGAAACCAGGCGTACTAGTCAGGGGCCCATTGGTTTCTGTGTTGACCAGCTGCCCTCCGCGGGTGTCTAAGAGGGATATTGGATGTTGAAGATGGGCTGACAAGTGATTTGTATTCCACCAGGACTGATGGTATGGCCTCTCAACCAATGAGGGGCAGCGATTATACCCCGGATGATATTGACACCCTGGTCCGACAGCTGTGCAAATTTCTTCATAGGCAACATGGGGAACACCATTCAGTGGTTGTCGACTTTGACGTGATGGCCGTCTTCCTGATGCAAGAGATGGGACCTAAGCTACACATCAGAAAAATTGTCCTCCTGTTGCTCCAGCAATTTGAATCAGTCATTTCACCCACCAAGAAACCCAATACCAGCTCCCCACCACAAACTTCAATCCAAAGCCAACTACTGCAAGCCGCCGAAGCTGTCTATACTAGGATCCAAGATTACGATGATGGGTTGTCAACATCCAAGCCATTCTGCCTGCGATATCCAACCTATTCGGCAGTCCTTGAACACTCGAAGGCCATGCAGAATCAGTGTGATATCCTCCCAAATGATCGTATGGTGGTTTTGCTTGATGAAGCAGGTGTCTGTGTGGGAGTAGGTGTTCCACCTAATCCAGCCTCCAGTGGACGTCACATGAAGCCAGATGTAAGTTTGTCAATCTAGAAAACTTTCCTAATATTTCCCTAACCTCTCCCCAACCGCGATATAGATCCGTGCAAAGATGACACTTGACGATACTGTCTCAACCTCCTCATGGGATACCCTGGATGGGGCGGTACTGCAATCTACACAATCAATCACTGGACCTCCCATCAGCCCCTTTCCCCTCAACAAAACCACCAATGGGGAAACTCGAGCACCCAATGGAAGTGATAAATCATCCATGTCTTTCCAAACATATGGCTACGGCCTTGGCGATGCAAGTGATTTCATTTTTGCTTGCAGAGACAACTGTGGCTTATTTTTTCCTTGTAGGCCAAATCTAAGGGAATGCACGATCTCAAAATCAAGATCACCAAGAAGCAAATCGATTTGGATGAGCTACAAGGGTACAAAAGCTTATGGAGGACCAAGCCCTTCACTTCCCTCCTACCAAATCCACTTCGCGAGAGCCAAAACACCCTGGATGTTCAAGCTATGGCCAAATTCCGAAACGAGATTACTTATTACTCCAAGCTGTCTTTATGGATTAATAAGGCCTTCTTGCCCAAAGCAGCTTCCATAGCCGAAGACGCAATCACATACCTGAAGCAACATGGAAGTGATCTACTACGAGACAACTTAGCAAATGAAAAGAATCTAATAATTGCTTGTGGGTTCCTACCTGATTCTAATAGGTCATGTATGTAAGCTGATCATATTTTATTTCAGCCCGAACAATCAGTGTCAATCATCAAGTCCATACTCATCGGGATAAAAAGAATGCATTGCTTTTTGACTCTGCTTGCTTCTTTGGTAACCACAACGGTGGGGAGTTCCTGCTACCAACATTAGGTGTTGCTTACCCTGGATTGCATGGATATTCGTTCCATGGACCACTTCGAATCCTTTTACATGGTGTAGCTAGGTTTCACTTTCCAGCCAATTTACACGAACCACCCCGTCGATACTCAGTGGCATTTTGGAGTCGGGCAAGCTCTTTTGCCGCAGTAGCAAGAGACTCTGCTGATAGAGATGGGAAAAAGGTCAAGACATTTTCATCAACCTGTGTAGCCCAGTATGAAAGCTGAAGATGTATTTCGGTTTATAGGTTTACAGCAACTCCAAGTACTGGCTACCCATCTATTCAGCATATAACTCCTCCTCAGTCAACCATAACCTTCACACTCAGAAACTGGAGTCTAGGAAAAGGGTCCCCTCTCAGACAGAGAAAAAAAATGCCCCAGGCCAAGGTGCTGAAAAGCATAAAAAAAGAAAGTAATAAGTCATAAACCTTTGTTGTATCTGCCCTGTTTCACTTCATTATATTCCTTGCTCCCGATTTATCATTCACAAAAAGTGATTCTGTATTGTCTGTTTGTGATTTGATTCAATACATTATATTCTTTCATTTTTAGTTATAAACTGAACCATCGGTACTTACACTACAACAACCAAACAAGAGATTTCAACTGTTCCTTTCTCAATAGTTATCAAACCAAACTTGTGAATATTCATTTCTGTGTTTCACAGAATGCCCTTCCTTTGGATATAGTTAGCAATGCAAATGTCCCAAAGGTTACAACTACCAAAGTCCAAAAAGATGATTGATTCCCAGGGAATTTTTTATTTGGCAATCTCGATTACTTGTCTGATTCTCACATGCATCCATCATATATAGCTAGCAAATGAAAAATTTGGTGAAAGACCAAGGGTTGCAATGTGGCGTTATGAACTAGCAGAAGACAAGAGAAACAAGAATTCTGGAAAAGATCTTGAGATCACAATCTAAGGGGGGATATCAAATGGACTACTAATCTTGGCTAAGGATAACCTTGAAAGCACCGCTTTGAATGTCTGCATACCACTTTTTCCTATCTTCAAACTGCAACCTATCAAATCCAGTCATTAATTTCTCTTCGGTCATTTCAGCGAATTCGGACAGAACCATCTTCAGGTTTCGGTTTTTTTCGCGTAGGGAAGCTGCTGGATTCTTTCCTTTGGGAAATTTACAGGCTGAAACCCCAAGTGCTTTTGCTGGTGAGATCCTATGTTAGTCAGTTTGGACCAAAGAGATGGTAGATGTTGACATGTTTGAGCTCACCAAGTGTTTCGTTAAGGGCTGCTCTAAGTTTTATCTTCATTGTATCGGCAGGCCTCTTTTTCTTCATACACACACCATTGGCATCTTCTACCGATTCTTGAATCTCTCGTCCATGGCTGTATGCCTCGAATTTCTCCTTGGCCCTCCAATTTTTCTCTGCAAGAGTGAGCCAAGCAGCATCGTTTGACCACTCCTTACAGAAGCTGTTCTTTCCTGGAGCACGTGTAGCAGTGAGCAGATAATAGGTGGTGTTGTACGAGTTGGACATGGTGAAAAGCTATCCTCAATCCATCAGTTGGTTAGTAATCTTAATTGGCTTGTTTAACAAGGTGGGTGATGCCGGATGGAAAAACCGACTCACCTCGCTGTTTAATCTCTGCATACTCCTCTCTGCCAGTTTAAATGCTGTTCCCTTGGCAATACCAACATTTTCGCCTTTTGAGATGATCATATCGACTTTTTCTTGATTGAAAAGCTTGGTATAGAGAGGTTGGTACAGTTCGATCTCCTCAGAAGTTAGGTCTGGTTCGGCCTCATCTTCATCGTCATCCTCCTCTTCTCCAAATCTGCATGGTATCTTCGAAAAGTATTGGAAGACTTTTGGACTGAACACATCCTTTTCATCCTCAGTCAGAGAAGACCATACTTCGCCAAGGTGCTGGTTCCTTTCTTCCCAACCAATAGAGACACCTTTGGGTGGGACTAACAGCAAGAAGTGGTTCTTAGCATATCGCTGGGGTGACACAAGGGAACCAAAAAGGACTAACCAGGGGTGTTTGCACTCTCCAAGCTAAAAGCCAAAAATCGATTCCAGGCACATTTCCGTCGGCTAGGTTTATTCTCGCCACTATAATAAACAAAGGCTCTGATGAATTGGAATTCCAAGAAGAAGGGATAAAGAGATGTTATACAATTCAACTCACAGTGATTTGTTGACTGTTTCTTCACTAACATTTCCGATTGCAGCAAGCATAAGCTTGCTTTTGATGTAATTTTGCTGGAGTAAAGTTAAAGCATCTTGCACCTCAGGTGGAATACGGTTGGCTGGAGGGTCCTTGCTTTTGTGAAGGGCTTGACGGAGTTGATATATGGACCATTTTGGCAACTGGCTTTCAAAGTTGGCAACAGTCAAGCCAACAAAGTCGGAGGGAGAATCGGAGGGAGAATTCTGGCCTTCAGGTCTTGGATCCTCTTCCTCTCTTGCATCATCAGAGTCGCGTCTATCGGAATCGGAGGTTCTATCGGAGTCGGAGTTTCCATTGTTCCGAGTACGCGAGGCATGCTTCCTTGCAGAAGGGTTTGGTTTTTTCTTGCTCTTGTTTTGGTTTGCAACTGTGAGTGTTGCAGTTGATCCGGTCTTCTTTGAGTTCTTGCGTGTTTTCGGAGTTCTGGATGATCTAGTAGCTGCCATAGGTGCAATTTGAGGAGGGAGAGGCTGGCTTTGAGCTGGCTTTGTGAATTACCAGTAGTAAAAAATAAAGCCAAAAAGGTTGTGTGTTGCATTACAAGACCAGCCAGAGTCAGCTCAATCCCAGCTGGGATGGGCCATCTGGGTGCGTGTGTACCCCCCTTGTGATCCACCACAGCAGGGGCTCCTCTAAAGAATTTCCAAGTTGAAACATTCAGGCCATGCTGTACAAGGTCAAGATGACAAACCAATGTTAAATATTGATTCCCCTGTTCTAGAAAGATTCATATAAACAAGTCCATCAGAGCTATGGAAATGGGAGAAAAAGTCATAAAAATTGTGCCATTGATGGCCAGGTGGGCAGTAATTTCCCCTGTGAAATGGGCTGGATGAGCTGGAAAATTCCCTGTGGACTGGGACTGGGCAGGATGATCTGGGATGTCCAGCTGGATGGGTGGGAAATCAAAATGAATTGAGGCTGATGAAATGGAGTGCATATTGCATTGATATGACAGAGAGAAAACCAAAAATGAGAAAAAAGAGAAAGACTGAATTGAATTGCCCCTGGGAAATAGGCTGGATGAGCTGGAAAGGAGGGCTGGATGAGCTGGAATTGCCCCTGGGGATGAGCTGGAATTGCCCCTGGGAAATGGGCTGGATGAGCTGGAAATGTGGGCTGGATGAGCTAGAAACGTGGGCTGGATGAGCTGGAATTGCCCCTGGGAAATGGGCTGGATGAGCTGGATTTTCCCCTGGGAAATGGGCTGGATCAGCTGGAAAGGTGGGCTGGATGAGCTGGAATTGCCCCTGGGAAATGGGCTGGATGAGCTGGAAAGGCAGGCTGGATGAGCTGGAATTGCCCCTGGGAAATGGGCTGGAATTGCCCCTGGAAAAGTGGGCTGGATGAGCTGGAAAAGTGGGCTGGATGAGCTGGAAAGGTGGGCTGGATGAGCTGGAATTGCCCCTGGGAAATGAGTTGGATGAGCTGGAAAGGCGGGCTGGATGAGCTGGAATTGCCCCTGGGAAATGGGCTGGATGAGCTGGAAAGGTGGGCTGGATGAGCTGGAATTGCCCCTGGGAAATGGGCTGGATGAGCTGGAAGGGCGGGCTGGATGAGCTGGAATTGCCCCTGTGAAGTGGGCTGGATGAGCTGGAAAGGCAGGCTGGATGAGCTGGAATTGCCCCTGGGAAATGGGCTGGATGAGCTGGAAAAGTGGGCTGGATGAGCTGGAATTGCCCCTGGGAAATGGGCTGGATGAGCTGGAAAAGTGGGCTGGATGAGCTGGAATTGCCCCTGGGAAATGGGCTGGATGAGCTAGAAACGTGGGCTGGATGAGCTGGAATTGCCCCTGGGAAATGGGCTGGATGAGCTGGATTTTCCCCTGGGAAATGGGCTGGATCAGCTGGAAAGGTGGGCTGGATGAGCTGGAATTGCCCCTGGGAAACGGGCTGGATGAGCTGGAAAGGCAGGCTGGATGAGCTGGAATTGCCCCTGTGAAGTGGGCTGGATGAGCTGGAAAGGCGGGCTGGATGAGCTGGAAAGGCGGGCTGGATGAGCTGGAATTGCCCCTGGGAAATGGGCTGGATGAGCTGGAAAAGTGGGCTGGATGAGCTGGAATTTCCCCTGGGAAATGGGCTGGATGAGCTGGAAAAGTGGGCTGGATGAGCTGGAATTGCCCCTGGGAAATGGGCTGGATGAGCTAGAAACGTGGGCTGGATGAGCTGGAATTGCCCCTGGGAAATGGGCTGGATGAGCTGGATTTTCCCCTGGGAAATGGGCTGGATCAGCTGGAAAGGTGGGCTGGATGAGCTGGAATTGCCCCTGGGAAACGGGCTGGATGAGCTGGAAAGGCAGGCTGGATGAGCTGGAATTGCCCCTGTGAAGTGGGCTGGATGAGCTGGAAAGGCGGGCTGGATGAGCTGGAAAGGCGGGCTGGATGAGCTGGAATTGCCCCTGGGAAATGGGCTGGATGAGCTGGAAAAGTGGGCTGGATGAGCTGGAAAAGTGGGCTGGATGAGCTGGAAAAGTGGGCTGGATGAGC